ATTAAGTGTTTGTGTTGTTACTTTGATGCTTAGGTGAGTTACTTAGTTGCTTGCGTTTCTTATTATAATGAACGTTCATATGAGAGCACCTTCAAAAGGGACGACCATTTAATATTGGAAGAGTGTTTTTAAAGCTTCAGGAAACTACTTAGGGGACTGCTATACTTTGTTGAGGGCTAAGAATGCAAGAAATTGAGTAGGGTTACAATACATGACAATAAAATAAATTTGTTTTATTTACACATAATTTAGGGTGATGTTGTATCACTAATATAGACGCTTATAATTTGAGTTATTAGGATTGTTGAAACCTATTTTATTTCCTTTTGATTTAGTTCAATAGCTCTAGTTTGAGTTGGCAGCTATCATCCTAGTTCATAATGGAACTCATTTTTTCAAATAATAAAATTTGTATTAAATCTTGAGTCACCTTTAAAATTTTTATCCTCAAAATTAACATTCTTTTTCTTGCTTTTTCTTTCATAAAGACTGACATATCACATTCATAATGAATATCTATGTAACAAGCAAAAAAAAAATGTTGGGTTAAAATAATATATTATAATATATAAAGCAAATAAAACTATTAAGGCTTTGATTAAAATGTTGAAAAAAAAAGTAATATATTATTGCAAAAAATTAAAAACATTTGAATACGGAAAATGTTATCATCCTTACAGTATATTCCTCTTATATAATCCAAAATATGCAAAATTCTAATATCAGCTCTGCTTATGAACTACCTAATCATATCTTTTGCTAAACAATCAACCTATACAATTTTAAATTGTTGTATCCCTTGAAACAAAAAGCCTGCAAATGTAACCTATCTATCCCAAAAATTCCATAATTCATTCTAACTTAATACCAACAAAAAATTTAAAAAGTCCAAAATTTTTGTCAAAAAGTGCACTGGCCAAAGAGCAATCCACCATTGATGATTAGGTCTTTGGCTGGGCAAAAGACGAGGCTGGCCGAGTTGACTTGAAGTATTTCTGTATGCTGTTTGAGTTTGTGATTCAAGAGTAGTGTTAACGTGTTATTCCTCTTCCTAGCAGTTATAGAAAGAAAATATTATTTACTGCCTGACTGAATGTGGCGACCAGCTTTATTCTTCCTTGGCCCTGCCAATCTTCCTTTTTGGTTTGGAAAGCAAGGTTTATTATAAAAGTATATTATTTTTATACGACAAAGCATACCCCAACATTAAATCTTAACGTAAACTCATCATTAAAACAACATTAATAGTTACATTATTAAACAATGGTATTGAAACTACATTATTTGGCTCTCATGGTGGCAGGGGGCCTTATGTTTTGACTTCTTTGAAATCCTTCTTTTTATTGTTTGGCCATATCCAAACAATGTTGGCACTTCATTTGCACACCCTGTTGTTGCCCTCATCTCTATCAGGTATTAGTATTTTTGGTTCTCGTTAATATCACGCCCCTTAATCCTTGCAAGTTTTTTTATATTCTTCCTGATTTTTTCTAAATCTATATAGTGGCGAGTAGGAGGGCTCAATAACTGTAGGCCACATGTTCTTCACCATTTCAAGGGTCTTGTGTTTTAGGGCCATATTGGTATGTCTTCATGTAAGCCTCTTTGTTGTAAAGAGAAGTACTCCATCCAAATACAGTAACAAATCAATGCCTTCATTAATTTATACATGAAATGGCTTGATTACATGGTACACCAGAAAGCTGCCATGCTCTACATGAGCACTCCTTCTCGTGTAGATTAAGATACCACAAAGGCCTTTTCACGCCAACTTGTAACCTGAAACTTTGTTCCCATCAGCAAGGTTGCTGGCAACACAAGATAGTGGTGTCAAGTTTGGTATTGCTTCAATCCTTTCTTATTCTAGCCCCCACACCATTCTTTCCATTATAGAAACCCTCTTATTTATGAAGTAGTTCCTCCCAATTATTGTAGTCCTAATACTTCTAAACATTATGTACACGGCTTTGTTCTAACCCATTGCATGTAATCGTTGAATGTTCAGCAATTCTTTTACTTTTACAGCACTATGTTTTTGGAAGTGGTCTGCAAAAATGCTTCTACAAACTTATCGTGTCTGTAAGCGTTCCCATTTTTCATTGAATCGAGTTGATGCTGTTCTTGCTTAGAGTCGAGCGGCTGATCTTAAAAACCGCGTGCGAGCATTAGAGTCTAGAGTGGGCTAGAATGTTGAAAAATAAGGAGAAGAATGGACTTTACTTGAGGAAACAAAAAGATCAATAGTATAAGGATTTTAGGACTTACTTTGCACCAAAAAGATAAAGTTGAGGTATTTGAGTTAGTCATTCGAAGTACCAATTTGACACTTGAGGTACCCCATTTTGGGTAAATTTTACATAAAACATCCAATAGTTACTCACGAGACTTACCCGAGTGACTGATGTATTCACTTCTTTCTAGTATCATTGTTCATCTTTAATTTCTTACATTTTTTCTCATATCTCTCTACATAACGTCTCCAATTTTTTCTACCCTATTAACTTTTTCTCTTGATTCCAACATATGTGTCCACTTGTTTCGGCGTTCCCAATCAATTACTCTTTTTAATGGATATTGTGCTAGACTAATTAATAAATTTCGATTGTTTGTTATTTTCAATATCAGTGTCGATATCTTAACTTGTCTCATACTTGTTTCTTTATGTATTATACCAAGTAGGTTAAAATGATTTATTTATAGAGCCTTTCTTTGTAACATATTTTTAGTTAGATTTACATTTGGTTGTGTGAATAATTTTTTTTTTATTAGTACTCAACTTAGTTTTTCCATCGTGTTTTCTAAAGTTTTGTGAATTTCTTATGAATAGAATAGGAGAAAAAATGAGAGTGATTCTCAAGTGATTTAAAACATTTCAGATAGAAGATGGGAAGAGGACCTAAAATAGAGACAAGATCTGCCAAGGCCTCGGGATCTATTCTTTAAACATCTATTCTATCGTTTCAATATCCGCGACGCGAAGCGAAAACTCGTGAATAGTAGCGTCTTTATAATAAACCAAATGACTATGTCGCTTGTGGCCTCCTCTATTAGCTCCCTATATGTTCAGTTTTCAACACAAAGAAAGTGTGTACCGTACAAAATTAGTACATTGCTTAGTAATCTGTTTGACATAAGGAAATATAGGACCGGAGATTGGCCCTTTTACGCGGGGTTTAGAAAGCAGAGCCACAAGTAGAAATTTCGCCATGTTCGGTCCTCAAAATTCAGAAGACAAAAAATCCTAAGAAAAGCTTGAATTCGATACTATTCTCAAAAATTGAAAATCTCACAGTTACCATTTAGGAATCGTCTTCTTCGGCCCGAAGAATCTAACACTCGCCTTTTGGTCTTAAGCTACCATGCATACCCTGCTTTAGAAGAAAATATCATATTAAAAAAAATGCGAGAAAGTGGATGAACATTATTATAAAAGCTGCCGGAAGCAGAACACCCACCCCACAAACAGCAATCTGAGAGAATGATTTTCCGGCAACGCAGACTCCGTCAAGGAGTGTGCGCAACATTGTGGTAGTGTCGGACCCAAATAGTAAACGAAGAATCATGTGGCTTCTAATAGAAGTTATGGGGCAATTACTAGCGTGAAGTTATTTTCTTATTTTTTGTTATTCATTTATGGTTTTTTTATTTTTTTTTTTCTCGGTGAATATTTTTGATGTGATAGGGTCAGGTGATATGTTAGCAAAGAGTCAGTGTGGATCTGTGACGATGGTTTATTTTATAATATATCAAATAGTTATCTGGATAGAGTCTGACTTGTTTAACGTAGTTGCGCTGGGGAAGAGGTATGTGTTAATTGCTTTACCCAGTAACTACAATCCTCGTGATTGGCCTGAATTATTTTTCGGATTGGATAATTGTATAGACTCCTAGGCAGATGAAGAGTAGAGAAAAACGTGTGTTCATTAGAAGATTAACTTCATATGTACACATCTATGAGAGCAAATGCAGAGGATGGCTGCCAATGTGATATGGAAAAATGACTCATGAAGTCTTCGTGCGAAGTATGTAGTGCTATTTACCATTTACACAAAATCAATATTGGTCCTCAAAAGTAATTGATCAAAATTTATTTTGTGAAGTGTTCTTTGTCCAATTTTTTTAATTCCTTTGATTCATAAGATTCATTCCTTTCTTTTACCTGTCTGCGCTAGATTGTTTATAGATTCGCTGTATTATTATAAAGCACCTGTTATGAGTGAAGAGTGATTATAGTGAATCTTAAAAAAGATTTCTTGCTTAACCTTGGAATAGACCTTATTTACTCTCTTCTTCGCATGAAAGTCTGACCAGGGTCCTTCTCTAAATTTGTTCCTAGTCGGCCTCTTTACATATCTTTGTTCCTTTGGCGAGACAATAAATTTTTTCGGGCGATAATTTTTCTAATTACAAGGCAATGGCGAACATGGTAGATGGGCGTTCGCGATTGGTTGGTGTTTTGCGTTTACGTTCTGTTTTTTCATTTGTACTTGTGGTGTTAACCGCTTTCGTTTCCATTGGCACTCTGCTACTGAAGCAGGAAAAGTTCTGTTCCTTTTTTTCAGTTGTTGTTCCCGCTTCCGCCGAAGGTACTTCTTTGTTTTTCTTGAAATTTATTTATTTAACATTCAGTTGTTACAAATATAATAGACTTCATTAATGCTTTGATTTAATCTGGTTAACAGTTGACACCTTATTGCCTATCTTTTTTGCGATTGCATAGTGGACAGCGCCACCCCTGCAGTACGCTTTTTAGCTCGGCGATGTGTTCTGTTTTGAGCCATATGGTGAACAATGTATAAATCTTAATCGCCGGAATTGATAATCTAATCTTTATTAGGATTTCCCTGTCTTACCTCAAACTTGTTTTTTTTTTTTTTTTTTTTTTTTTTGTTTGATGGTCAGGTTTTGTTGCATGGATCTGGGTTTTTTTTTTTTCTTTTCTGATTAGTGGGTATTGTTAATTTTATCCTGGATTCTGAATTATTTTGGTTGGATTGTAGATATACAGAGAGAAGAGAAAAGTGTACAGAAAGCAATCAGAGAGGCTGCCAAGAGAAATGACATGGGTTCTGCGAAGGTATTAGTGCTATTACCATTACCAAAATCAATTCCTCAAAGTATTGATCAATTATTGTGAAGTGTTCTTGTCCATTTTTAATTCCTTTGATTCATAAAGTTCATTCCTTTTCTTTTACCTGTGCGCTAGATTGTTATAGATTCGCTGTTATTATTATAAAGCACCTGAGGATATAGAATGTTGTATTCTTGCTTAACCATGGAAACTCTCAATTTGAGTCTGAGTCTTCTCTAAATTTGTTCCAGGTTTTACATATCTTTGTCCTTTGAAAAATTTTTATACAAGCAAATGGTAGATGGTCGCGTTGGTTTAGCTTCGTGTTTTTTCATTTGTACTTGTGGTTGAGTGTGCTACTGAAGCAGGAAAGTTGGTCTTTTTTCAGTGTTGCCAGTACTTCTTTGTTTTCTTGAAATATATTAACATCAGTTGTTACAAATATAATAGACTTCATAATTGTTGATTAATCTGGTTAACAGTTGACACCTTATTGCTATTTTCATTGAATGAGCGCCACCCTGCAGTAAGTTTGGTGACCATGTTTTTTTAAGTGAAACTCCCAATTGTAATCTATCAATTAGGATCTCCTTCTACAATATAATGGTACATGTTCAGATGTGATAACAGTTGTCAGGCAATATATTATTTCATGTTCAATTTCTTATTGTTTTATATAAAAGTTTCGGTGCACCTCTCATGTGAATACTGCATTTTAGACTGGATAAGGCACAATCTTTGAGGTTGTATGGTAGTGGATGTCCTTTTCTTTACCTTGTAAACTTCCAAGTGCTCTTCTTGATGGTGTAAGGCTGTAAGCAACAAGTACTATAATATAATATGTATTTAATTTTTTTCAAAAAAATTTTTGATTTTCATTTTGTAATCTATTGCAGGCACTTGCTAAGGAAATTGTGAGATCTAGAAAAACAGTAAACCGGCTTTATGAAAATAAGGCACAAATGAATTCAATATCAATGCACCTTGGTGAAAGTGTCGGTATGTTACATCCCTTATTCAGCTTCTGCTCTAATTTTTGGCTCTAAAGATTGCAGCTGCATGTGAGTGATCAGTTGTGTTCTTTGTCTATTGTTGTAAGTTTGTGATTCTAACCACAAACTTAATACTAAAGTTTCTGATTCTTTCTCTTATTCTTTGTGATTCTCAGTATCTTGATACTAAATAAGAAACTAAAAGGAATAGATGCATTGCAATTTGTTTTATGGTAGTCTTGGTGGTTACATGATGGTAGTGAGCCTTGGTGCTATTTTAAAGTTGCTCTATTATATACTGGGAGAAATGTTTCTAACCACCAAAATAGCATCTTTGTCAGTCAAAATAAACTGTCTTTGACCCTCGCTAGAGCCTAAAATGTGGAAGCCTTATCACTGGAATGCCATTATTAGTGGTTGGAAAGATACTTTAAATGAACCATAATTAGATTATTTATGACTTGAAAGAATTTGGAGCTGTTGTTTGTTCAAGTAGAGCAGAAAAGATAAAGTCTTCATCCACCATGCCAAGGATGTTTTGGGGGGAGTTGGGGAGGACTCTTGGGGGTACATCTGGCGGTAATGAGGTTGTTCTTTGAAATCCTCCAATGAGATATCTATTGTGAACTTAATTTAATTTTTATGGTTGTGATTTCTCACGAAACTAATCGATTCCCTTGGCCTTGGCTCATCTAATGGAATCTCTAATTTAGGCTGCATCTTGCTTTAGGGTAAAATAGTTAAAAAAAAAAAAAAAAGAAAGAAAAGTGAATTACATAGAAGAGGAATGTGGATGCGAAATTTTCTTCAATTAATGATTGAATAAAGACTTCATTTCTTTCAGAATGGATCAGAAATATGGTGATAGTTGGTAGTTTTAGATTGGAAGGTGATGAGGTTAGGTGAGGGGCACACAATTTTCCCTTGTATGTTGGCATCTTTGAGAATGTGGTTAATTAATGAAGACTACTTCTGTCATTGGATTGGAGAGGGTTATTGAGGTGGACTCTCTCTACAATTGTAGAAAGAGGCCAACAATCTTATATGGTTATAAACCTAGGAGATTCTTTTGTTGTGTATGACTATGTAAATTTCAACTTGTTATGGGGACAATGAATAATAATGTGCATAGATTTTGAATTTAGGGGTAACTAGTGCTTGAAAGACAAGTGGTTTTGTTTCTTTGTGTAAGGATGTTTCTAGTTTTCCCTTCCCAGCCTTTTTGAATGCTTGGTAGCATGTTCTGGATACTATTTGTGAGTAGTTATGTTTTTATATGATATTTTCTATGCGTCCTGCCATGTATAATTTTTGAATATTGATTATTGGTATTGTTATTAGCTGTTAGGTAATAAAGGAAACTAAGATACCGCCACTTGTGATTTCTCTGCCTAAAAAATGGTTGCCCGTTTCATTCTTTTACATATCCTGCATAAACAGGCTTGAGTATCATCTTAATAATATTATGGGCCTATCATAGGGACTGTGGTAGCTCATCTTATTCAAGATTTTTGTCTTTCTAACACGGAATAATAAGAAGGCTTTCAGATCTGCTGCTGTTTTAGATCCCAAATGATCTGAAATTATCACAATTCCTTGCATTCTCAACATTAACTAGCTGCATATGCTGTGCAAGTTCACCGAGTTTTTGTTGCAAAATTTGAGCTACCGTGGACTTAATGGCCATGCCCTTCTTTGTCTTACCAATTACTTATATAATCTGCGTGTCCTTCATCTTTTATACTTAATTTGAAGTTGGGTGTCTCCCTCTTTCTGCTATTACTTTTGAAATTTAATTTGAGGATGCTTTCTACTTGTGCAATCCTTTCTTAGAGGGAAAAAATGGATAAATCTAATCAAACAAAAATAAAGAGGAGAAAGGAGAATAATAAAGTGTATTTCCTCTCAATTATAACTTCAAATAGTTTATAGCTGAGAAATTTAATTCCGAGATGCTTTATTTCATTTGATTTTTTCCTAGATAGAAAAATAAAAGATGATGGGTCCGGTTCACCCTTTGCTTGTAGAAAGAAAGAACAAGGGATGAAGAAGAAGAATAAGATTAGTTAAATGCATAGCAATTATAAAAACTGTTTTGAATTTAATCCAGCTAAACGTTAATTGATAAAATGGGAAGAAGTTTAGAAGATTTTATAAATTCCATTTAAATCTACAAAGGTTTGAAAGTAGCTGTGGAAGGCTTGTTTTGGTAGCTGGTAGCACAATTCAATCAAATGTGCTAGTTGCAGTGGCTTAATGGCTTAATGGATTTGCCTTACAAATACTCAATCAAATGTGCCACTGTACCTAGTTATGTGATATAGATAGAACAAAATATATATACAGTACGATTGCCATACTATGTAAATGAAATAATTTGTATGGGGTTATAAGAAGTAAATAAAATAGCTTGTATGGGTTCATTGTCTATGTTTCAGTGCATTTCTCATATTGACTGGTTCCTGATCTTTGTTTTACTTTTGTTTTTGGTTGATTTTGCAGCAATTGCCCGTACAGTGGGTCATTTATCTAAGAGTGCTGAGGTCATGAAGCTTGTCAATAATCTCATGAAGGCTCCTGAAGTGGCTGCTACAATGATGGAGTTTAGCAAAGAAATGACCAAGGTGGTTGACCTTCCTTTTTTCTTATACTCAAAAATGAATAATACCTATTGGTTTTGCCTACTAGGAGAAGTCTTATATTGATGCACTTATTGGTGCCATTTCTTTACTTTAACTACATTAAAAAAAAAAAAAAAAAAATTAAAAAAAAAAATTGGGGAAGGCTATGTGGTATCCTGGATAGCTGGGTAGTGACGTAGTCCAAACGCACCCTTCACTCGATAGTGTGATCTAGTGCTAGTGGTACTTAATGGCTTAATGGATTTGCCTTTACAAATAGCTCTAGAATCAATAATGGTGAGCCTACGGAGTACCTAGTATGTTGATATAGATTAGAACAAAATATATATTACAGTACGATTTTGCCATTACTATGTAATTAAATAATTTGTATGGGGTCTATAAGAAGTTAAAGATAAAGGAATATGTGGGATCATGAGGTTTCTATTCTTGGTCTATGTTATATCTATGCTGACTATTTAACGTCAATATTTGACTGTGTTCCTGATCTTGTTTACTTTTGTTTATGGTCTGATTTTGCCATTGCAATATATTTCTACGATACAGATGGAGTCTATTTATCTAAGGAGTGCTGAGTAATTGGGACCAAGTGGCTTGTTCTAAAATCTTTCATGAAGGCTCCCTGAATGGCTGCTACAATGATGGAGTTTAGCTCTAAAAGTAATGATTCCATATTTAGTAGGGACCTTCCGTTTAGTCTTTAGCTCAAAATATGAAAATATTGATCACCTATTGGTAATTTTTGTTAAGGCCTCGAATCATTGTGATTTATGGATCACTGATTAGGGGGAGAGAAAGGTATCTTATGATTGATAGCACTATATTGGATGCATATCTCATTAATATACATATCGGATATAGAAATATAGAAAAAAAAAAAAAATAATAAAATTAAAAATAATCAATAAATCTGATAGTGACCGAACTTCTTATTGGATATAACAGAGTTTGTTCATTTTTTTATTTCGGATGACTTGCAGAGAGGAGTAATTGAGGAATCTCTCGTGAATATTGCTATTGATTACAAGTGCACTGATTCTTGGGAGAATTATCGAAGAAGAAAATTGAGGGAAGAAGTTTGACTCAAGGTTATTTGAGACAGCTATAGCTGGTGAGACAGCTGCTGCAGCCTAAATTCTGCCACACCATTCTTTACCTAAAAAAAAAAAAAAAAAAAATTAAAAAAAAAAAATCTGTAGACCAACTTCTATGGTAACAGGTGTTCTTTTTTATCATGATTTGCAGGCAGGGGTAATTGAGGAATTTGTGAATGATGCTCTTGACAATGCACTGGACTCTGAAGATATTGAAGAAGAAATTGAGGAAGAAGTTGACAAGGTTTTGACAGCTATAGCTGGTGAGACAGCTGCACAACTACCAGAAGCAGTCAGGAAGGAGAGAGTGAAGCAATCAGCTGGGCCAACAAGAACAGCGGAGGAGGTATGTGTGAACTATTAAAACAATGTAATGAACCCTGTGGAAGCTGCTTTTTAGCAGAAAAATAAAATATTCTTTTTAATTCTTTTAGGAAGAAGCCATTGCTGAGGGTGTAGATGATGAGGAAGAACTAGAAGAAATAAGGGCCCGACTTGCCAAAGTTAGGTCATAAATTTGAGCCTAATAGCCCCTTCCTTCTCTGCTGATGACTTGGACTTGGAGAAGGACTTTCAGCTCATTAACTTGCATTATTCATTGATTACAATGAAATTGCTGCTGGGTGAAACTGCATTTACAATTGACAGTGAGTATATAAGACGAATCAAAATGCGTGTATTATATAATGAAAGCAGCTTTATCTTTTATGAAACTTGAGTCATTAGCTGCTATTTGTATTATACCTAACTTAAGAGGCATTTTTATTGGTGCCGGTCATTCCCCTTACGTGTATAAAAAGATGAGATGCTGCAATATAAAAATAACTCGTAACTTGGCAATGCAAATCTTTTATTTTGGCTGCACGATGTAATCCTACCAAATTTAGTTTATTTGACTTAGTAGCAATATTTAGAGTAGCTAATGCCTAACTTCACCTCAACTTTGATATGCTTCTAATATACGTGATCTATTTTTTGATATATCGTCTAATTGTTCTGAAAATAATACTTCATTGAGGTGATCCGTAAAGCAATGTTTTGTTCATGAGCAAGAGTGCAGTCACGTCCTGCATTTGATGATTAAGATCAAAGTGTTTATTTTTAAAACAGTTATTGTAGACGCAAGTGCAATGCTTTCTTTGTGGATTTGTGGCAACCAGGTAATATTTATTCCCTGATCATGTTTTGTGTGCTTTTATTATGAATTTGCCTACAAAAGAAGAAAGATAAGACAACCTCTGGAAATTTCTTAAGCCATGTTAGTTGCATTGCAGTGCTAGGGTCCAAACCTTGCCATTTGTGCCCCTTGAGTTTTATGTCTAACAATTTGCTCCCCTTTCATTTAAATGGTAGCTTCATCCCTAGCTGGTGCTATCTTAAATCATTTGCAATGTAATTTGAATCACAGTGGATTTTATCACTATCTTATAATTAAGGGTGCCACAATTTTTTTTTATCAGATTTTTACTCTTAGGTGTTACATTACTGAAGTTCAATTACAATTAAGGGTGTTACTGTTTATTAAATGATTCAAACCTTTACACCAATTTTATATAGTTTATTTTTTGAAATAATTTGGTTTGGTTTGAATTTTAACAAACTGTTTCGAAAACAGTTTGATTTGGTTTCTATTCAATCAAACCATATTAAACTGAATCAAAAAGTAATTAATAAATAGTAATAATTTGGTTGTCGTCTTGTGAAATGGTTTATATTCAATCACTTTACAAGTTCTTCCAATTAAAAGTAGCATTATTAATTTTAAATATAGGTCCACTTACTTTAACTTTTTCCAATTCAAAGTAGCACTATTATTTTGTTTTACATTTCACCTCAAGCTTTGGTGTACATTTTCTGAATATAATAACCCCTCAAATTTGATAAAAAAAAAAAAATTATGTCACCAAACCCAATCGACCCTGTGGCACCGTAAACATTAATTGTTAAAATTTTTAGCTTTTATATATAAAATATTGATTTGATACCTAATTAATATTAGAATTGTGCAAGTCCGTTGAATCTTAATATGGTTCTGGTACGGTATCAGAGTGTTTTTTTATAAAAGTTGGAACCAAAACTAAAATAATAAATTGCATTTTGGTGAGGTTCGATTCCTATCCTCTTAGTTCTTTTTTTATTCCGATTCAATTCATTGCTGTTCTTTGAACAAATTGTTTCAAACCGTGAAATATGTACACCCCTAATTACATTAGTCACAGTCACAATGAAATGCTTCAAGTGCTACTATGAGAGATGAAGGGTGAAATTATCTCTACTTAATCTTGGCATGACTATTAAAATAAAGATTAACTAAATGGAGTTGAGTTTCAACTTAAGCTTGAAATTATAATTATTTTATATTTGATTAGCCTAATGGATCAATTACCCGACTCAAGTTTACTTGTGACTTGAGTTACTAACTGAGAATTGGGTCAACTTTCATTATTTCGCTGACGGGGAGTTTGTGAGTAGCTATCAAGCTGAGTAGTTACTCAGACTCAGTTGCACGATATATATCATAAACAAAATCATAGTGATAACAAACAATAAATTCAGAAACTGAGAAAACAACTAAGACAACAAAATTTCAATATATGGGCAACACATCTGCGTTGAAAAGTACAAATCTGATAATGGATGATCACAGTGAAAATTCACTGGTGGCTGCCCTTCGAAAAAGAAAAAAAAAAGGAGAAAATTCTTAAATTTTTTAATTTGAACAATAAATTTTGGGTCGTTGCACGCTATATATAAATAGCTCAATGAAACATCTTTCTATACATTATCCACTCATATACAATTCTTTGCAGCTAAGATATATATTTCGAGGAACAAGGGGAATTAATTAATTATATGTATTATTTATGGTGTACGAAGAGATCGACGTGATGCCCCTTTTTTTTTTTTTTTTTTTTTTTTTTTTTTTTTTTAATATCATTAACTCAGAGGAACTCTCCAAGTGATAACAACTTAGATAATATTTCTCATGATATACCTGAGAAACAACTAAGAACCAACAAAATTTCAAATATTATGAGGTAAACCACATCTAGCGTTGAAAAGTACAAATCTGATTAATGGATGATCACGAATGTGAATAAAATTTCACTGGTGCTGCCCTTCGAAAAAGAAAAAGAAAATTGAGAGGCAGAAAATTTCTTAAATAGTTATTTAATATTGAACAAATACATTATTTTGTGTGAGAGTCGTTGTGCACGGTTATATATTATAATAGCTCTCATATGCAAATCGTATATACATTTACATTATCCTACGGAGTATATACATTTCTATATAGCGCAGGCCTAAGTAGTATATTATTATTGGCTGGTAGCGATAATCAAGGGGGAATTAATTAATATATTATGTATTATATGGTCTTGCATGTACGACACGAAGATACGTGTAGTTATTGCTCTCCCTTCTCTCTTTTATTTTTTATTTTTTTTTGTGATACTTTAAGATACATTCAAGACGTGTATAAAGTAGAAATCAACTGTTTCTTGTATAAAGCATATACAGATATAATGGAGTTGTTCGGAAGTTTAGCATGGTAGCGCGCATATGTTTTAGGGATGCTATCTATGCATAAGATGTCTATGCCATCGTGCCAATTTTGCCCTATCTATTATACATTTCACTTGTGGTAAACCAGACCTTAACGTTCAAAAAACCTTAGGGGATTTTTATTGCGTTTTTCTATTTTTTAAATTAAAACGCATACTCTTTAATGACAATGGATTAAAAAGAGTTTCTCTTTCCACTAATCCCATGATTTTCTATTAATTTTATGAAATGCAGAAATAAACTCAAACTTCAAATATTGTCTCAATAATTGAGTTATTGAGTATATTGGTTTTATTGGGACTTTAAACAAGAAAAATAACATATATGTATTTATACAGATATGGGTCAAGAATTTGGTCATTTATCATCAAAAGCGTGTTTCTTTTTGTTTGTTTTTTTATTAATTATCAAGCTTGGGTTATTATGGCTTGGATCTTTAACCTGTTTCTATTTTTCAAGAGAATATTTCGTCCATGTGTGCTTTCTCAAAACGTTCGCGGTTAAGAGAAACTCTTAATATAATTAAATGCGTGCATTGCAAAAGACTATTTATATTAAAGAAACGCGTGGAAAAACTACTTAAATAATTTCGATTCAAATTCTCAGGAGCTAATATTAATTATTTTCCTTTATTTTATTTATTTTAATTGGCAATATGTCCTTGTGGTACGACGGGATACTCTTAGATTTAGAAAACTTTCAAGATAAGGTAAGCCAAAGATGAATGGGGACTCTCATTCCCAAATTGGCCAACAACTAACTATGAAATGAACTTATAAATGAAAATTGTTCTGACATTAATGTCATTATGCGTGATAATGATGGTATCCCCATGTGGGTCTTTTGGCAACCCAAGGAATATCTCAATTATTGTAATTTAGATTAGTCATTTTGAGTTTGGGGCGATTGAAGAAAGAACTGTCTATGAAATGGATGTGTTCTTAATCATAATTAGTGATTATTGCTCAATTTTCTTTATATGAAAAGATGAATACTTACATAAAAGAAAATGCATGGCATTTTTAACATTACAAAAACAAATGAGAGCTTAGGAATAAAACTCACCTGAAAACTTTTGGGAAGATATGTAAACTGGAGTGGTAGTATACATTTGGGCCTTCAAATGATGGGTTGGTGCCAATTTTGAAAAGTAGAGCTTCATAAAGTTAACGTTGTGGGTCTACAACAAATCCAGTCGGTTTCAAGATGTTTAACCACTAACGGCGAATTTTTAAATAATGGCCAATTCGCGTGTACAACTCGACCTTAAGATCTATCTATCGGACCAAATATCGTCTACTCATAGAGTGTAAAGCATAGTATATTTCTTATGGTGTGTAGGTCATTATTCAGTTTTATAAGCTTTTTTTTTTTTTTTTTTTTTTTTTTTTTTTTTTTGTGATATGTAAGAACTCAAGACGTTAAGTGAAATCAATGTTTTCTGTTACGCATCGTAGGAGTTGTGGAGTTCATTAACCCTTGTTTTAGGGTATGGTCTATGCATAGATGTCTTGCACGCAATATCCTATCTATTCATTCACTTGTGTAACCAACCTTAACTCAAACCTTTCTATCTTTTCATTAAAGTAACGCTACTCTTAAATTAATTAATAAATTTTGCTTTCCACTATATTCCTATTCTATATTTAAGAAATGTAGAAAACCATACTTGTAAAATATTGCATTTATCATCAACTTTCTTTTGTTTTTTTAATTATCAAGCGGTATTATGGTGATCTTTACCGTTTTCTATTGTCAAAGAATATTTTCGTCATTTCTTTATGACTTAGCGGAAAGAACTCTTAAAATTAAATCGGAAGACTATTTATATTAAGAAACGCGAAAACTACTTAAATAATTTCGTCAAATCTCAGGAGCTAAATAATTATTTTCCTTTTTTTTTTTTTAATTGGCAATATCCTTGTTACGAGACTCCTAGTTTTAGAAAACTTTCAAGATAAGGTAAGCCAAAAGATGAAATGGACTCTCATCCAAATTGGCACAATAACTATGAATGAACTTATAAGAAATTGTTCTGACATTAATGTCATATGCGTGATATGATGGTATCCCATGTGGGTCTTTGGCAACAAGAATATCTCAATTATTGTAATTTAGATTAGTCATTTTCAGGGCAATTGAAAAATGTCTAGGGTTCTTATCATAATTAGGATTATTCAATTTTCTTAATGAAAAAGAAACTTCATAAGAAAAATACAAACAAACTAGGATAAACTCCCGAACTTGAAGATTAACATGATTACATGATGTTGGTGCCATAGAAAATGAGCTTCATAAGTAACTTGTCTCCAAATCCATCTCTCAAGATGTTAACACAACAATTTAAAATCATCCTACAACCCTTAAGATCTATCTATCGGACAAATATCACAAAGAACAGTATTTCTATGGTAAAGGATATTCAGTTTTTAGCTTCAACCCATAGTAAAGTCCCTAAAAATATTCAGTTTTTATGACATGAATTGCCATAAAATATGTAAAATATTAAAAAAATAAAGTAAAATTAATTTATTAAATTCGATAATTAGAATGGTAAAGGATAAATAAAGAAAAAAGTATTTCTATTTTCAATTAGACAATTAATGGCCCTAGTGTCAGGTGAGATTGTATATATTTACATTCTAATTCTAATGGAATAATGAACTTAATTCTATTTATGGAATCGACAGTTGGGTTATGACCCCAACGTTGAGTTTATTGGTAGGCCTAATGGATTGTTACTGCATAATAAGGGTAATTTGCTCTTTAATTTACTTTATCGGTTATACTTTTATAATTCAAAAATTCGAATTTGAAATCTTTCACTCTCCTTAATTTATTGTTGGTAAAAAATTTTATAACTGAGAGAACTTCAAATCAAAATTTCTTACTTCCTGTATTAATGAAAAGGCCAACTACCGTAATTGATTAGCTAAATAATCTACTTTTGTCTTAATAAAATTTCAGTTTCTAAATTCTAAATTTTTAGTGCTAATATAGGTTGGTTTACGTTAATAAGTGACTTAAGTTGAAATGAAGAAAATTACTATTTAGTGTCTATGATTTGATCTTAATTACTATTTAGTCTTTATATTTTCTATAAATAATTGAATCATCTCTAAGTTTTGAATATATTAAATTATCTAGTCCTTCTGTAAAAAAAAGTGCCATGTTGTTATTAAACACCTATAATACTTGACTGTTTGTTCTTTCATACTTAAAATAATTATTACTATTTAATCCCTTATATTTAATACAAACTTACTTTTAATCCTTCATTTAATGATTAAATTTTTTTTTAAAAAAATAAATAGTTTAATAGATAAAAAATCAGGGACTATCTAATTATTTATTCAAAATAAAAAAAAATTAAGTAGTGACTTTTAACATATCTTAGTGACTAAAAAGTAATTTATCATTCTACAATTTGAGTCCATTTATAGTAATAAGTTGTTAATATTTCTATTTGTATGACTTTATCTGCGAGATATTCTAAACCCTAATTTCAATTTACATAATTCTAAATTTCATTCATCAGTTGGCTAATCTTATTTATGAATTTTTTGTTTTAAGATAAAATCTTATTTATGGATTAATTAAACCAAATTAACACATTGTACGTTATATTTTGTAGAATTAATGAGTTTTAACCTGAATTAGTTTTTTAATTTAATAATAAATACAAAATTAGTTAAGAGTGAAAATTATAATCGAGAACAAAAATTTTATTTCAATATAATTTTTTTTTTTTAAGAAAAGTCCAACCTGCGTATGTCACATTGACCAATCTTGATGCTTCAGACAAAAAAAAGGAAAAATACATGTGAAAAAGAAAAAGAAGACAAAAAGAATAAGAAAAGAGTAGGCTAAGCAATGAAACAAAATTCCATAAATATTGCATAAAGAAGTATAAAAAAGTATTTGAAGTTTACTCCAGTCTTTTTTTATTCACACAGCTTTTATCTGCCAACTTGGTTGATCAAACTCTATATAAACCCAACATTCAAACTCCTTTTCCATCCACAACACCATCATTTCAAACCTCTCTCTCATTACAGAAAATGCCATTAACTTTTTCTTACAGATTCCTCTCTTTCTTTCTTTTCCTTTCCATTTCTTCACCTTTCTCATACGCATCATCTCCTACCAGCCTGCCAAAACTGCAAGCAGAACATTTTATAAGAGGGTTTAACTTGTTTCCTAAGCACTCAATCAATCTCCCAATCAATGATGAATCCTCGGTAACTGTTCCTGAAATTGTTGAAAAACCATTAAAATTGAATCTTCTTGGTGATTCAGGGTTAGGGCCCTCTGTTCAAGACTTAGGACACCATGCAGGGTACTACAAGCTTCCTCATACTAAAGCTGCAAGGTAGATTGAATTGAATTCTGTTTTTGTTTATTGTGTCTGTAAATTGTTTCTTGACCCAAATTTAATGTTTGTATTAACATTGCAAAACTTTTATTATATGCCCTGTTATTTTCAGGATGTTCTATTTCTTGTTCGAATCGCGGAATAGCAAGAATGATGATCCTGTTGTTATCTGGTTGACTGGGGGGCCTGGATGCAGCAGTGAATTGGCATTGTTCTATGAAAATGGACCTTTCCAAATTGCAAATAACCTGTCTCTTTCGTGGAATGATTATGGTTGGGATAAGGTATCATGGTGCTCTGACTGTTTGAGTGTTAAAAATCTTAAATGCTCCTCTGCTCATTGTATGTCATGAAAATTGTTTGTAATTCTAAGGAAAAAATCTGCAAATCTCTGCTACTTCCATTTCATTAAATGCAGGATTTTTTTTTCTTTTGCAGGCATCGAACCTCATATTTGTTGACCAGCCAACTGGAACTGGATTCAGTTTTACGACAGATGATAATGATATACGACATGATGAAGTTGGTGTTAGCAATGACTTGTATGATTTCTTGCAGGTCAGTATGTAGATTTATTATAAGTTTGTGTTTCAAATTATCTAGTTTTTGTACACCAACTGACTAGTCTCTGTACGACAGGCATTCTTCAAACAGCATCCGGAATTGGTTAAAAATGATTTTTACATTACTGGAGAATCTTATGCTGGTCACTACATCCCTGCTTTCGCTGCCAGGGTTCACCGGGGAAACAAAAACAAGGAAGGAATTCATATAAACCTCAAGGTACACAAATATCCTTTAAAAAGACAAACAATTTCTTAATTGGTTTGTGATTTTACTAATTACTTAAAAATCATTCAACAGGGATTTGCCATTGGCAATGGTCTAACAAATCCTGGAATCCAGTACAAAGCGTACACAGATTATGCATTGGATAATAGCTTAATTCAACAATCTGATTATGAGCGGATTAACAAGATGATTCCAGAATGTGAGCAGGCAACCAAAGCTTGTGGTAATTTCTCTTGCTTGTTCTAAGTAGCATCTGAATTATCATAAACTTTGCCCTTGATTGATTATATTCACCTGCGCATTATTTGCCAGGAACGAATGGTGGATATTCTTGTGAATCTGCTTTTAGCGTGTGCAACGACATATTCAATGCGATCTTGCAAGTTGCTGGAGACATAAATGTAAGGAAGCACTTGAACTAAATTTTCAAACAAAAAAAAAAAAATTAAATTGTTCGTGAGAATTCATGCTATCTTTGATCTGTGCAGTACTATGACATCAGAAAGACATGTGATGGGCAATTATGCTATGACTTCTCAAACCTGGAGACTTTCCTTAACAAGAAAACAGTTAGGGATGCTCTAGGGGTTGGAGAGCTTGAATTTGTTTCATGCAGCAGTGAGGTTTATGATGCTATGGTAACGGACTGGATGAGGAATCTTGAAGTGGGAATCCCTGCTCTCCTTGAGGATGGTATCAAAGTACTTATCTATGCTGGCGAGAAAGATCTCATATGCAACTGGCTAGGCAAGCCTCTATGGTTTAGATAAAACCCAACGGTAATGCATTTTGTGCTGTCACAACATTCTTGATGAACTTGTGTTTCTGCAGGAAATTCGAGGTGGGTTCAGGCAATGGAATGGTCTGGCCAGAAAGAATTTGGAGCATCTCCAGATGTTCCATTTATTGTCGAAGGTGAAGAAGCAGGACAACTCAAATCCCATGGCCCTCTCACTTTTCTCAAGGTCAGACTCTCACTTTCTCTCTCTTATTCATTCTTTTAAGCACGCCATGATATCTAAGTCTAATTTCAGCATCCTTGATTGTTTATAACAATCACCAGGTTCATGAGGCTGGGCACATGGTTCCAATGGATCAGCCAAAAGCTGCATTACAGATGCTGAAAAGCTGGATGCAAGGGAAGCTTGCTCCGACAAAAATTGAAGATGAGATTTATCCCGAGTGACAGTCTCATTCACACATGCCACCCTTTTCTAAGCATGGTCCAACAGTCTCACGTCTATAGTTTTTGGGGTTCTGTATGTTCTGACACTCTGGGTTCTGTTACTTTGTTGATATCATTCTCAACTTCTCCACAGATATAAAATGAAAAATTTTAAGGACTTTCTATCTTGTTGAGCGCACAATATGCATTTGGAGATGAGCAATTTTACTTCTGTAGAAATGAAAAATAAAATGTCCTTAAAGTTAAAATGTAATTCAAATATCCTCAGCATTCTGACCAGAATTTTGCATAAAGAAAATCAATCAACGAAACTATATCAACAACAAAAAGAAACCTCATTTTGGCTTTTTAATCTCCGAGCAGTGCAATGCAAACTTCTATCAACAGTGACAATAGAAATCACACAAATCACTTGGCCAGATTACTTGTAAGGATAAAAATAAAAAAAATATATAATAGTTCCTATCAAAATAGATAACCTGTCAAGGAATTCAAACGAAGAATCAAGAACATAATCTTACCCCATACAATGCCCTTAAAGACTCAATTGCTGGCTGGAAACCAGTCCTCAAAGGCACAACTGATACAGCTCGCAAATGCTGAGCATTACCATTCTTTGGTTTGGACAGTGTCATTTTAAACATCTCCCCTTCTAGAAATTTTCCAGCATTGGCAGCTGCATATAAGTAACCATTATTAGATCAACAAGTCCACCTATTTTGCTAAGTTCATTCAAACTACCCAAAAAGTCACTGAGGTTTATACATAGGAAACAGAAAATCCCGACCCTCCATCATCCTCTTTCCCTTTTTTATTATTATTATTATTTTTTTTTATTTCAAATGAAAATAACAAAGAAATCCAAATGCCTTGAGGCCTTGTACGTTGTAAATTTTGCTGGTAATTCCATGTTTGCTATGAATGAGAACTTTTCATTTCATTCCATAAATTCAATTAACATAACAATCAAATTCTAACATTGATAAATGAATCTACACTTCAAATAACAAGGGCATAATAAGCCAAATACTAAAAAAATAAAGAGATTTACCAGCAAAAGGATGAAACTTGGCAAAGTCAAAAAATTCATCAGCAGAACATCCAAACAACACCTTAGCAGCCCTATCAAAGCAAATCACATTAAGCACCTTTGTGTCAGTGGCTATTGACACCTGCCCATCAAAGAAAAACCTCCATTCAAATTCTAAATTGACATTATTTGCATAAAACAAACAGGAAATGCTTACAAGAAGGCGAAAGAAGCGCTTGGAAGAAGAAGAGTTGCAGAATCTGCAAAGAGAATTAGGAGTATCGGGAAGAGTTCTTTCACAAAGAGAGCAAGCTCTGTAAGAGAGATTGGAGTGGTCTATGGCTATAATTGTACATATTGGGTTGTTCCCCTCCATGCCTTTTCGCTTTCTAGGATTTCTTTTGTGTACAGTTTTAGTGAAAGACACTGCCTTTCCTTTCTCTCACCATTGCCCCCTCGCCTCAGCCTCGGGTTTTATGCTCATACAAAGAAATCGCTACAGCGCCGACCGATTTTTCTATTTTACTAGTTGGAGGTAAAGTTTTCCCTTCCCTCCAGATTTCTGGTTGTTGGATTTGGGCCTTTTGTGGGCTTTCTAATCAAGTCGTGGAACGAAATGAACGACAAGACATTCATTTCCCGGTGATTGGAACATCGCCATTTTCTTGTGGTCAATTACAAATCAAAAAAGAAATGCCGGAGCATATCCCTGTAAAGCCCACTAGCAATGAAGTAACTATGCCATCTCTTGCATCTTCATATATTGGACCTTGGGGACAAATTATTTATCAGGGTATATTCCACCATGTCTAGGAAAATTTAAGTGGAATGACCTCTGACGTTCCATCTGAATTTGGCCACCGATTGTAGCTAAGGGAAGAGCGCTCGTAAATAGCATCACAGTTTCACTAGCGAAGATCATTGATCTTTCAACCAACAATCTTACTAGTAAATTGCCTGAAGAGATAACAGGCCTACATAGATTAGGCACCTTAAACTTACATTTAACTGGAAGATTCCCTCCAAGAATTGGAAACCTGAGATGGTTGGGAACACTTGATCTTTCAAGAAATCAACTCTCTGGCCCAATTCCATCAAGCTTGTCTTTGATAGCATCCTTGAATCACTTAAACCTATCTTACAACAACTTAACAGGGAAAATCCAATATCTGGAAAATAGTAGCATGATATCTGGTATTTCAAATGTACAAAGAAAGTAACTAAACAGTAATGAATCCAATATCTGGTAGAAAGGCCAAATGCTTTGCAGCAAATGGTTACTTCCAAGGAAGAGAAATAGAAGTAAATTAGGACAAAACGTGTGCTAGAAGAATAATCAAGAAAAACTAGAACTATTGCCGCTGTTACCTTCAACTTCAAGTACAAAATTCTTATTTTAAAGAAAGAAAGAAAAAAAAAAAATCTTAGCCTGCTTTATCCAAAATGGCCCTCAACTGAATGAACTAAATAACCACAAGTAAGATAAAAATTAAAAACTCTGTTTCAAAGGGACGGGAAAGAAGCAAGCCAAAAAGAGAAAAAAAAAATGAAAAAACAATATGGAAGAACATCAAACACAAATATTTGATTCTATGCCTTGGCGGGTTTGAGAAGCTTAACAGTCTCCCAAGTGAAATCTGGGTCGTCACGACCAAAATGTCCATATGCAGCAGTTTTCTGATACCTGAACTTGCCTCCTCTTTTCAAATCGAGATTGATGGCAATCATGCCTGGCCTGAAATCAAAGTTGTCCTTGATTAAAGTCAATATGTCCTTTTCTGGGATCTTTCCTGTATGATAAGTATCCACAAATACAGATAATGGTTCTGGCACTCCAATGGCATAAGAAATTTGTACAAGGCAACGTCGAGCAAGCCCTGAAGCTACTACACTCTTTGCAGCCTGCCTTGCTATATATGCACCACTCCGATCGACCTTTGTGGAATCCTTTCCAGAGAATGCACCACCACCATGGGCACCCCATCCACCATAAGTGTCAACGATTATCTTCCTACCGGTAAGCCCTGCATCTCCGTGTGGACCGCCAATAACAAAGCGACCTGAAGGATTAAGATGGAAGATTGTCTTTTCATCAAGATATTGCGGTGGAATGACAGGCTTAATCACATGCTCCTTTAGATCTTTGGCAATCTGCTCATTTGTCACAGTCTCATCATGCTGAGTCGAAATGAGGACAGTATGAACCCTAAGTGGAATCATAACATCGCCTTCATTTCGGTATTCAACAGTCACTTGAGTCTTACCATCAGGCCTTAGCCACGGACATGCTTTGTTCTTCCTCACCTCAGTGAGCCTAGCTCCAAGCTTGGTTGCAAGTACATGTGTCAATGGCATAAGCTCAGGAGTCTCATCTGTGGCATATCCAAACATATGACCTTGGTCACCAGCCCCAATTTCTTCAGGTTTCTTGGTAAGGTGACCATGGACGCCCTGAGCAATATCAGGACTCTGTTGCTCAATATTGACAAGAACTTTACAATTATCAGCATCAAGGCCAACATCAGCTGAAACAAAACCGATGCCTCTACAAGTATCGCGAACAATTTTCTCATAATCCACCTTTGCGCTGGTAGTAACCTCTCCAAAAACCATTACCATGTTTGTCTTAGTGCAAGTTTCACAGGCAACCTTACTTTCAGGATCTTGCTCCAAACAAGCATCTAAAATGGCATCAGAGACTTGATCGCATAGCTTGTCAGGATGCCCTTCATTAACCGACTCAGAAGTGAAAAGAAAAGTATCCATAGCTGCATTGATAGTCATTAATGTATACATCAGTTACAAACGTCACACAAAAATAGTAAATTACGTAATAAATCAACCATCATAAACATGATATTTTGCTCAGCAATGATAAACACACATAGTCCACAATTAAAATAGTTGAAAATTACCAAGATACAAAGGCAAGCCTTTCAGTCACAGAAGGTCTTAACAAATAAACCGTAACATCGTAAGGAACATTCAAATACACCTTCTGTGTCTCCTTATCAGCATGTTATCATTTTTTCTCTTCTCTCTCTCTCTCTCTCTCTCTCTCTTTAGCCAAGCGTTTTCATGGTTATATCCAATTGAGGGACAATGGAAATAGACAGTTAAGGACCCTTCCTTACAAGTTCCTTTAATTTTCCAAGAAACAAACGGAGCAATCATTCCTATCCGATAAACCAGAAAAAGGAGAATCTTTTTCACTAGAGTTTTTGTTTGTTTCTAGATTCCACGCAGTCACATATATTTACATACAAATGATTAAGAATACAAATGCAAATCCAAGTAAAAAGAAGAGGAAGAGCTACCAAATACTTTCAAATAATAATAATAATAATAAGACTTACCTCTGTTGAGGAAAGAAATAAAAATCAGCAAGGAAACAGAACTTCAATACGATAGAGGAAAAAAAGATGTAGGTAAGCTAAGGAGGTGGGTTTGTAGGATATGAAATGAAGCTGAAAATAGGAATATTTTATCACTTACGACTCGCTCTCTCTTTTCTCTTCTAGTTGCTTTTTTGATCCGCTTTTCCAGTAAAAGAGATGGGTTGTGACGTGTGAGCTACGGATATATTAGGTGAACTCAACTAAAACAATAGCCCAGTTCTTGTTTATCTTCCAAAGCCCAAATCTGTAGCTGTGAAAAAACTACCAAAAGAAATTTTTTTCTTGTCCAAGTCGCTGGGCCTTGATAAGCTCCATGGACTCTTTAAGTTCAGTGGACCTACAAAGAGATAAAGTTTCCTTTCCTACGGATTCCAAATCCAAGGTACCATTCTTGCGGGGATCAAAGAATCTGATTTTCCTCCTCCTCCTGTCCATCAAAGACTGACTTCTTTCTTGCTGACATAACCTCATCAATCATCTCAGGTTTTACAACACTTCTTATATTACGTAACAATATTCGCTACAGATTTTATGCTTTCAATTTGCTTTCTATGCTTCAAATTTATTCTCTTTTTGGTTACTGATATACACGAAAGTAGGTATCTCATGGAGATTTTGGTGATTTCCATTTATCCTTTTGGTTCTTAGAAAAAGAAACAGGCAACTTTAGTTCTTCGTTAGGGGAAAAAAAAATCAATTTATCGTTTTTCATCATTTAAATGTGGTTATTACTGGTAGAAAGCTTTCCTTTGTCTTTTTTCTTTTTTCTTTTCTTTCTCTTATTGCCTTTAATAAAACATGTTGTGCAAAAGTAAAGTAACATTATTGCAATTATGCAATATATTTCACATATACATATGTTAGAAACTTGAATGACTTTGTGCGTCCAATAATGTGGGATCATTAAAAAATTTGTTATTTTTTATGTTTAGCACAATAAAAATTCGTAAGAATGTGCGCAAATAAATTATGGCTTTTCTTGATTTTAGCTTTATATTTGGACATTTTTCTCCTGTATTTATCGCTTTCTTTCTAGTTAAAGTTGCCTTCTTTTGATTGCAGCATAGCCTGTCATCTTAAAGGAACCTTTCTTAGCTCTGCGACAGTGTATATCAAGAAAATAATTTTTTTTTTCTTCGAAAAACTTGACAATGGAGCATGACAGGTGCCCTTCATTTTTATTTTCTACTTCAATTTACTGAATATAATTATTTAATTGTTTTCTAGTCAATTTACAAACCATGAATGTCAATTTGCGGTTTGCTTATTAATTTCTTTGTGCAAAGTATTCCAGAACTATTGCTGCTTTAATCCTTGCCTTCCTTTGTTTAATGTCTCATCTCAGTGTTTAATTTTAAGCTTTTATACTTGATGATAATATTGTGATTTCCTATGTCAGGTTAAATTCTCCAAGCACCTCTGCAATCACTCTTGAAGTTCTAGGCCATCAACTGCAATTCTCTCAGGTGTGTTTTTGTTCTTCTTTTGGTTGTAGTTTGTGTACAGTGTTTGTTTCACCATTCAATTTGCTTGAAATGGTATAGTTTGAAGTTAATGCTGCTGGAATTGTATAGTTTTAAAACAATGAAAGCCCAATCATAATATGAATGATGGTCTGTCAGGATGCAGCCTGGCTTTACTGAGGATATTTTGTTTGTTATACTTGAAATGTCAGTAAGGGATCTGAAATTTTGCCTGTGTTATGCTTGGTTGCGTGGAGTCTCTTTCATATCTTATAAGATTACATATAGTGTAAGTTTGTTGTGATTGTGATAGGATCCAAATTCCAAGCATTTAGGAACTACAGTTTGGGATGCATCAGTGGTGTTCGTTAAATTTCTGGTAAGCTTTCTCTCTTTCCCTCCCTCTCTCTCTAACCGCACTTGAAATTTCCTGAAACTTTCTTTTCACATTTTGGCAATTCATAGTAGTTGGAATGAGGAATACTGTGTTTGTTTTCCTACACAAGATCCTGCTATTTGGATAAGGCATTATTCATTTTGACTTCTACTCTTGTTTTTGTGTCCATAAAGTAAATACAATAAGAATAAATGGTGGAAAGTAAAGCTGTGGAAAAAACATCCCTTTATTTGTTTTGACTTCTACCCTTGTTTTACTCTCCATAAATAAAAAGGAGAGAATAAGGAATGTGGTGGAAGTAACGCTGTGGAAAAAACATTCCCTATATATGATGTATCATTAACAGATTTAAGGGGTACATGCACCATTGCAAATTTACGCGTTTTTGAAGTTTATGAAGTCCTGTTCTCGGGTTGTTTCAGGAAAAGAATTGCAGAAAGGGACGGTTTTGCCCTTCCAAACTCAAGGGAAAACGGGTTATTGAACTTGGAGCAGGTTGTGGAGTGGCTGGTTTTGGTGAGTTTCAGTTTCATCTTAAGTGAATGTTTCATAAATGACCTCTGGTTAGCTTTTCCTGTTTGATATTGATCTGATTATACTATATTCAGTTTTGCTTCTAACTCTGATGTAAGCTGCTCCTTCCAGGGATGGCACTGCTGGGATGCAATGTGGTTTCAACAGACCAAATGGATGTTTTGCCATTGCTAACGAGAAATGTTGAGCGTAATACTTCAAGAATCATGCAGATGGATCCTAATTCAGGTGTGCTTTGAGATATTTCTGAGGTTTTTGTTCATATGGCATGTATACGTTTTCTTTGCTTCCAACCAGTGTGGTGCTGCTTTCGTTGTTGGATAAAGCATCATACTTGGACATTGATTTGAGTGTTATATATTGTCCATGACTCTAAGAACTTGTTATCCTTGTAGATTCATTTGGTTCAATCAAGGTTGCAGAATTGGACTGGGGAAACAAGGATCATATAATGGCTGTTGATCCACCATTTGACTACATCATTGGCACTGATGTTGTAAGTTTGTTTGATGATTACACTTTATTATTGGTCCGGACCACAATGGGAAATTATTGCTTACTGTTTATCGCTTACTGTTTTGTCTGTGTTGATAATGAAATTGACAGCCTAATGTCAAAATTTTTGGTAGATGCTTCTGTGCTTAATCTATATGTATGCACACAAGATTCAAATTTTCTTTTATTAGAAGAGAACTTTAGTTTTATGATTCTCAATTCTTAGTTTGATGGGCTTGCCACAAATTCTGATGTCAGTTGTGAGCAAGTCGATAAAAGTAAATATGAATGTACATTGTATAACATATTAATTGGCACAGCATGCATCTTTTAGAATTTTCTGCATACATCTCTTGTAATTTCAATAATTTGTATAAATAAAAATAGGATAGTCAATTCAAAATGTAGATCTGTTGTAATTGAAGAAAAAAGGTTGCTTTGGCATTTCCACAATAAAATCTTTTAACCTTTTTATTGGCATTTGATCTTCAACACACTATCATCCCAACTTAATCAGGTTAGTGATTTCAACTTCATTGTTATTAAGGTTTATGCAGAGCATCTCCTGGAACCACTACTGCAAACAGTATTTGCCTTGTCAGGACCCAAAACAACAATTTTGGTGCGTCATCTTAAGGTTATCCATTTTATTTTTAATCCAAAAAAATTAATTCATAATTCAATCTTTTGTTGATAAAATTTCCATGTAGATGGGTTATGAGGTTCGATCTACAAGTGTTCACAAGCAGATGCTTGATGTGTGGAAACCGAACTTCGAACTGAAAATTGTTCCAAGAGCTAAGGTGCTTGCTTTCTGCTATTTCTTGTAAATTTTAATGCTTGTACCTTTGTGGATGTTAAAGCACATCTCATTTGTACGTAAAAAGCTGGACCTAATTATAAATAATTATAACCCTAGAGATTATACCTGGTGAAGATTGGATATATGTGATTCTTGGAATATCTACCTCACCAATCACTTTCCTGAAGTGAAAATCTTTAACAAATGCATTGAATTATTGACAACCTTAGAGACCAACTATTTGTCCCGATTGATCATCCAAAGTTTTATTATAAGGCTTGGTCCAGAGCATGAGAAATACTGCCTCCGAATAGTTTCAGTTAGTATGCAAAACCTTTACTCTCTGGAATTATTCTAACCTGTCCGTTCTATACAGATGGACGGTAAGTACCAGCATCCAAGCATTCAACTTTACATCATGGGATTAAAGCCTTCAGCTGGGAACATAGAAAATATGACTCAAAGGATTGATCCACAAACCGATGAAGTTGAAACAGAAGTTCAAATGCCAAAAGAGTACGGTAATGGTGGGAATAGTAATGCCATGAATAATATGGATGATGGCAGTAGTGAAAAAGTTCAGGAGGATTTAAAGTTTCCAAAAGGAAAGCTTACTGATTGGGAAGCAAGGAGACTTGGCTCAATGGCTGCTAGACTTCTTCAAGATGTCAAGATGACATAAATTTTCAGCTGTGATATTCATAATTAGTTTATTGTACTTCAGTCTATATGCCTCGCTCCATTGTTAAGCTTTATCATAGTTTAATGACACAACATATGCTATGCTGCCTTAAATCATGACGCTGATATTCAGAGATTGACATTAGAATTCCTGGTTTATGGGAAATCAGACCTAGGAAATTAATCCTTTGTAAATAAGTTATAAACAACTGACCTTGAAGTGGATTGTGCCAGAACGCGGGCATAATAGGATAATCTCAACTGAAATGTGAAAAGTCAGGCTTTATCAAGTGAAGTAAATTTTTGAAAAGAATATTTGAAGCTGGTTTTCAGCATCTGCAGCAGATTTGAAGAAAATTGAAGTCTCCAAGAAATAGCATATGAAAAACTTGCTGATATTTGAACGCTTCAATGTTAGAGAAATCCAAACATTTTAAACCTTGCCTGAAAAATCGCATGTGTTCAATAGACGGTTGCTCAAACCTGCTAGAATAATGTGTTTTTTCTCTTGCTGCATTGTTCTCTCTCTCTCTCTCTCTCTCTCTCTCTCTCTCTTTTTTCTACTTGCTGCCCATTGTTCTCATCTCTCTCTCTCTTCTCTCTCTCTCTCGCTCTCCCTCTGCTCCTCGGTCTAATCTTCTCTCATCTCTCTGTGGAAGCTTTTTGCCTAATAATTAGAATTGTTGAGCAGGCATGTAAGCTACAATTGAAATTAATTCAATATTTAACAAAAAATTATAATGTACTTCTCTCTCTCTCTCTCTCTCTCTCTCTCTCTCTCTCTCTCTCTCTCTCTCTCTCTCTGTGGAGCTTTCTTTGCCTATAATTAGAACTGTTGAGCAGGCATGTAAGCTACAATGAATTATTCAAATTTAACATAAAAATATAATGTACTTTAACAAGGAATTCGAAGATTGAACAATTGGCTGCACAACAGAATGAAAATATACACAAATTACATTTTAGCAGTCCCAGAATGAGTATCCACTGTTTGCCTGAGTAATTGACTGCCATTGAAGTATGTCTCTGAGCTATTATCAAATTTGTGACTCACAATGGAAAACTGATCCATATAAATTCCCAAATAGGAAACAAGTGGGTCTGCCCGGGTTTTGTCTATAACAAATTTCAGGTGCTGAGATTCTACAGTCGGAAATTGCAATAACCTCTTATATCCAACTGTGGTGCCATTAGTCACTTTCTTCCAGTCCCCATCTTTTAGAATCTCAAAATGGAATGCAATAATCCGCTGTCCCATGTGAATTGGCTCTTGAACTTGCAAAACATTGAAAGATGTTCTTTCCTGAAGATCGAAGAATAACTCCCAATTAGACTGGTTCTCCTCAGAGGCCCAGTAAGTGTAGATTCCTTCTTCAAGAACATTTTTGGGATTAAACTGTGGATCAACAGCGCCTCCTCTTGTACTGCTGGCACTAAGAATGGCATTCTTTCCTAGATTATAAGAAAATATAGACCTCCGAAGTTCTGCGAATTCTTGAAGCACTTCTATGTCTTCAGCCGATATAAGACCTGAAGCGTTTGGTGGCACATTCAGCAGCAACAAACAGTTTCTGCCAACAGATTTGTAGTATATATCAAGAAGCCTCATTGCAGATTTTGGACTTTCTGATGCATGCCAAAACCAACCAGGTCTGATGGAGACATCGCATTCACCAGGAACCCAATCATGACCCGCCGGGTCTCCTATGTTTAAGTAACTGTTAGACAGATGAGAAGTGCATAAAAATCAGATAATTGACTTGTTTGGGGAAATTGCCAACAAAAGAATCCTCCCATTCAAAGAGAAGAGAAGCATATTCTTCCATTGATCCTTTGGAGAAGGTTGAACAGTACATTCAATGTTATGTTGGAGACACAAAAATAAGAACATATCTTATATGGTAAAATCCTAGAAAATGGAGATACCAGTACAGTACAACAGCAACTAATGCAATAATGAGCTGCGGACCAGTATCTAAAAAGGAAGGAAATTAGTTAATTCTTGGTAGCTTTAAACACAGGAGAATGCTACCAGAAAATAGCAAAAACATAAACAGTACAGCTCATTATTTATTGGTCAAAGCAACTTAGAATCCTGGATCAATTTTTGCATATTAGTTATGCTAATAGCTTGAGCATATTCAAGTAGATGATCCATAAACTATAGATCCCTAACAACATTTGACAATTATCCAGCCATCAAATTTGAAAATTTTATTCTCAAAAGAAATGCTACCAATTAACGTCTTGCATAGGTATGGAGGTTAAATCTGCTAGCTACAGAGCAAAGTAAGAAGCAGCATATTCACATTAAAGTTGTAGTTAAAAGAGTCAGCATTTTATACTGAGAGGCAATAGCAACCACGATCGATTCATGAGCTTAAATACAGAGTAAACTGACCACATCAAGCAATAATGCTCTGCAACACCCTCCCTACATGCATAATTTTTCTTACTTCATTGTATTAAATTGAACTATTCTCATTAAGGAAAAATATGGAACTTGTGGATAACATGACAAGAAAGAGGCATTTACTATCCAAGCAAGTAAGTTATCTTGAACCAGATATAGAACCTTTATCATCATTAATGGAACTCTTAACAATTTATAGGGTTTGCAAAGTAGAATAAAGTAAGAATAACATAACTATTCAGTCTATTCAATGGCACCATAGGATATGTGTTTCTTCAATTCTAAGTAGATTTTTTAATGAGGAAATTTGTGAAGTACTTATCCCATGTGATAAACAATTCAATCGAAAGTTGAATTTGTGGAATAACTATTCCACATTTAAATTTAAACCCCAATTAGAATAGTAATTAAACATGGAATAGCTATCCTATTCTATAGTATGCCATGCTATTCCATTTCCCAACCAAAGCCTCGATGAGTAAAGACTAAAGAACTTGCACTGTATTTATCTGTAAGGCAGATTGGTTTTAGACAAGGGAAAAACTTAATATGGTAAATAAGATCAGCTCACCTTAGATCAGTGCCGCCAATTCTGGCAGCACTCCGATTGAAAAGGGACCAACATGTAGACCCAGCAATGCCAGCCTCATCCCCGATCCACCTTGTGTCAGGACCAGCATCAGAAAATATGACAGCCCCAGGTTGTAGTTGATGTATGAGACTAAACCAAGTATCAAAAAGATACTCCATATCCTTCTCTCCTTCTCCTTTCGCACCATCTAAAAATACCTCCTTAATCTCTCCATACCTGCCATGATTTTTGAAAAATCATCCCAATTCCCTAAATTTCTCAAAAGCAGTCATAGAAAAACTAAATATAGTTAACAAAGTAATAATATATTGAAGTAGATATTTACCAACTAATGTCATTAAGGTTGAACTAACCATAAGAGATGGCATTTAGTATCTTGACAAATAAAATAAAACTCCAAGCTGCTCAAAAAAGGCACAAATTACCTTACGACATGGAAACATTAATCTTCCAAAAGTGTAATCAGTGGACAGCAATTAAGCACATGCACGGGGCAGAATATAAAGAATTTGACAAATAACATAGTCTCAACCTACATACAAATATCAGAATACGAATACCATAAAACAGAGTGCAGGTAATTCCAAGAAACTTAATGCAAAACAAGGATTTAACAAAAGCTTACTTAATTTAGTACCATCCTAAAACATACCAATTAGTAAAAAAAAAACAGGCACCCAAATATAACTTGCATTCAAGTCCGAGGAACTTAATGCAGAGCAAGGATTTAAGAAGAGCTTACTTAATTTGTGTGTGTGTGTGTGTGTGTGTGTGCGTGTGTCCAAACAAACATGGTTATCAAAATATAACAAATAACTTCAAAACTTTACATTGACAACAGTTAAGTTAATCTAATCAAGTTAACTCATCAATACTCGATGAGCAGACAATTACAAAGACTAAATGCACCATAGGAATTAAAGAAAAACCAAAATTGATCAGAAATAACCTAAAAGAGATTACCTGGTCAACAACTCAGTCATTTGGCCCATATAGAACTCATTATACTCTAAAGTCTTCCCATAAGACACCTCATGCCTATCCCACGGTGAAAGATAGAGCCCTAAACTGACACCAGCATCTTTCGCAGCCAAAGCGAATTCTTTAACAACATCCCCATTTCCATTCCTCCAAGAACTTGACTTTACAGAATAATTTGTAAATTCACTAGGCCATAAACAAAAACCATCATGATGTTTTGCAGTTAGTATCAGACGATTAAAGCCAGAGTCTTTTGCCACTTGAACCCACTGGGTAGCATTGAGGCGGGTTGGGGTAAATACAGATGGATCAGCTTTTCCAGTACCCCATTCACTGTCTGTAAAGGTGTTGGGTCCAAAATGAAGGAAGACTGCCATGGATGTGAGTTGCCATTGGAGCTGAGAAGCTGAAGGCAGTGGCAAAATAGGAAGTGGGGGTGGCTTCTTGACGGTAGAATAGGCAATCGATATTGATGAGAGTGAGAAAAATACAAGAATTGGATTCAGATAGGCGTGATATGAAACACGTTTTAGGGTTCTTGGCTTAAAGGTACTATTTTGGATCTCCTCTTCCTTCTTCTTCATGGTGGAGAAGAGGCAGTGGCGTGAGGGTGAGACAGAGCATGAGGTTACAGCACATTTAAGTCAAGACTTCAAAACAATTGAAGACTGAATTAAAGAAGTAAATAGATCACCTAAATTTTTTAATTTGATTAAATTGTTTTTTATTTCACTTAATTATTCTAATTCAACAATTCTATTCGTTAATCTATGACTAAAATTTTTATATAAAAAAAAAAAGGTCAATTGATAAGTTGCTTTCCAAGGAAATCATTAAAAATAAATTAAATATTTTATAATTAAGATGAAAGTTGGTACAACGAAAATTCCAGTAACTTTCCTAATCTTAGCCACCATCAACATGCCAAAACCCCGAAAAGAAGAATGAATGTCAAATTTACACCCTTAAAATGCAAAAGCAACTTACAATTCAAGTAAATGAATATCAATGTATAGAATTAGATTAATTAGATGAAAAACGGCTTCATAATCGATAAATCTATCCACTCTTTCTTTTAATCAAGCATAATCTAAATTCGGCGCAGAGTAATTTCTGATAAATGAGAAAGTATTTCTGCCGTCTCATCTCACCGTTGGCGTAACCAATAAATATATTTAATATAATAGAAAGGTTAGAGTAATTCACTCTTTTGCCCAATAACCTCCAACCCTAAGCAACTAAGTGACTTTCCTCACAGTTTTAAGCAGAGGATGAGTCCATTAAAGGCCGAGGGAATTAATGATTCATGCCTTTTGCATAAATCTTTATGAAAAAAATTGTTGGATATATCAAATAATAATAAAAACTATATAGAAAAAACTATTATATATATCTCTCGAAAGAAATAATAAAGTGAATTACGTGAGAGTTTTTCCTTTTTTAAAAAAAAAAAAATTTTATTTTTTAAACCGCAGGCCCGAATGGCCCAAGCGCGTAACCAAAACGAGTTTGATAGTCTGGAGGAAAAAAAAATATAGAAATTTCGAACTTGACCCATTTTTTGTTGTTGGGCTTAATTGGATTGGATTGGTCGAATGATAGGAGAAAGCACTAACGGCCCAAAATCTCAGGGTACTAAAATTGACAACAGTAATTTAAAAATAAAAGCCTTTAGCACTAATGTCAAAACTTGATATTTTTCCAGGGTAAATAACTATTTAATCAATCTCTTAGGTTCGGGTATAATTATAATTTTATATAAATACATTAGCGTTCCTATTTAGTTTATTATCAAGTACGAAGAATGCACACCGACATAGCTTCGTGGTAAGTGCATATACAACCTAATAATATACCAAGCTTCAAATATCCTCCCTCCATACTTAGAAGAAAAAAAAAAAAAAAAAAATCTATTTAGTTATTGAATCAAGATACGAGTCACACCGACATAGCCTTCTGGTAATGCCATATACACTGGAAAAACGGAATACCACAGCTTTCAAATATCTCCCATCCAACTTAGAAAGAAATAAAAAAAAAAAAAAAAAGGCAAATTGATGGAGTAATAGTATACTGTGTTGTGTTGAGTTTTCGCTAAACTAAAATTCTCAGTAAAAATGGTATTTGAAGTTACAATCAAAATGGACTTTTTTTTTTTAGATGCCAAATTTCTTATATGCATAATCAAAGTCAAACAAATCATAAAATAATATGGATACTCTCCGGGATCTCCATAGCCCCTCAATAAGCTTATCATCCATAGCTATATCTTACCAATGAATCTTTTACTTTATATATGAACATGACCCAAGACTATGGTTAAAAGAATTTAAGAAAAATAAAAATATGACACAAATCGGTCTACTAACCAAAACCTCACCAACCAGATCAAATTCCAGATGGCCTAGTAAATGGCCGTTATATAAAGTGGAAGAGGAGACAATGATGATAATGATGATGGTGAAAAGCAAAGAGCCGTTGCACATTGCCATTGAAGATGATTTGATTGATTTGTTTACTTCGTTCTTGTCTTCAACCCTCTATCCTCAGCAAGCAAATCCCACATTTTTACATTTCAGACTACTTGAATTGGCTCCCACTATTCTTCCATGAAGTAAAATGCATAAGAGAATAAAATAAACGAGCTCCTTCTTTTTTATGTTACTGTTTTTTAGTTTTTATTTTAAAATAATATCTTATTAAATTAGCTCTCTTCCTTTTTTCACCTCTCGTTTTCAGAATATATAGTAAATACTACAGAAATTTTAAGTTGTCTTATACATTGTTATCTTTTGCTTTGGCGATAAATGAATTAGATAAGAAAAAATTGAGGAAAATATTCTAATTTATTTTTAATATATAGCTTCGTTCATGAATCAATTATTGTTTTATATATTAAAATATATTAATTTAATGTTAAAAAATACTAAAAAAAAGTAATTATAGAGTTTAAGCACTTACTTTGAGATTGATGGTCTCAAAAAAATAGAAACTTACTTTGGATTGGAATTGGACAATGGTCTTCCATTTTTTTTCTCTTTTATTACAACATACGTTTCTTTTGATTAAAACAAGAACACAAAAAATAGAAAACATGCACGTGCCAAGCAATCAAGCCAAAAACTGAATTAAATTGAAACACATTGAATGAGCCGGGAGTGAGCATTCCATTAAGAATTATATTATTTGAGGTGTCATGGAAATCAATTGGTATTATATTATAAGTAATTGAAACGAGATGTTATAAAATTGATGACGATTAAATCGGTTTAGATTTCGATTTTAAAATTTAAAACATTTATCGATCAGAGAGTAGTTATATTACAATTTAAAAATAAATTTAATTAGTTAATAATGATACATCAATGATTTGAAGAAAACTAAATTTTGTATATCTAATCTGATTGGCGTAATTGCATTTTTCAAGATTAATGATATCCTTTACTTTGACAATAAAAGAATCGGATTTTGATTTCGCATTTTTGGTTAAGAGTCTTTAGTATGCTCGGAGTGCCTACACATCTTTCTTATAGAAAAGCCGCACTGAGGAGTGGGTGTGTACCTTTGAGGCTCATGTCACAAGTCGAGCGCACAATTACCCGATTGTCGAGACAGTACCAGTTGAAAAGGGTTTAATCAGAATGTGAAAAGAAATAAACAAGATACAATCTTGAAAAAGATTTTAAGTGTACTCGGATCTATTACACGTGGAGAAGAGATTTGTGTGAAGTTAAGTGCCACGTACACGAATATGACCGTGAAACCCATAAGAAAAAAAACAGCGATGGCTTGTATACGTTCGCTCTTTCGTCTGTGTCGTTGTAATCGAAATCCCAGTTAGGACTTGTTTGACTTTTGCTTTCTGATGGTTATTCTCTTTTGAGAGTGTTTTTTTCTCAGAAGCCCCTTACTCTTGCTTCTTTTTTATTCATTTCCCCTGTGGAACTTAATGTTCCTATTTTTAGAAAGATTGGACGCAAAACATAAGTTCTCGGCTGTCTAGGGGACCATTGGAACTAAGACCTCTATTCTATTTATCTTATTGTAAACTCCAATCTCAGTTTTTATATTTCGATTATCAATCTCAATTCCCGAACGGCAAATTTGAAACTGAAATTATATGAAAATTGTTTTTTTTTTTTTTTTTTTCGGGGGCCTTATTTATAAGACAGAATCAGATTAGCTCTTTCGTAAGGGTTCTTTTGATAGATTTCGAATTTGACTTACTAGTTATTAGAAATTTCATCATTATTTGTGCCTTTTCCTTTTTTCTTTATCATTAGGTCTAATAATTTATCATTAAATAACCAAGAGTATAATGCAAAGAATCAGAATTAAAACATTCAGAACTTCATATCTATTACTTTCACTTTCTTATTAAATATTTTTTTATGCCATGAAACCGGAATAATATGTGAATATAATTATACAAATAATTCAAAATTTAAAATAAATCAATGGGTTTCAATTTAATGCTGTATTTCAATCTAATACATTTATAATAACTTTTAATACTGTTTGTCATTCAATTTGCAAAAAAAGAAATCCATCCTATACTCTTCGAATATACTTTTTTTCTCATATCTAAGTATCCAAATAATAAAGAAATCAACAAATTCACTATTATTTCTTCCATTTTCTCATTGTTCCCTTATTCATCAAATCCAAACAAAGGGTTTGGAGCTTATTGGCTCCTAGATATAAATGAGGAGCATTTAACAACAAAGAACAGAACATACGTTAAAAAAATCCCTATATATATGGGTTGAGCTTACTTAGCGCTTACTTATAAACTTTAAAAAAGAATATTACCGTAACACATCATAGGGGAGAAAAAGAAGTGAGTTATTCATTATAATATATAGTAAATGGAGACACAATCAAACCTGTGCTTAGAACGAATAACATCAGAACGCTTTTTAGAAAGAAAAAGAGTCTAGAGGCATTTTTACGTCTCTCTTGTTGACATACACACATATTATAAAAGTGCTACCTTCATTAGCTAAAATTTTCTGGAAAAACTGATCGCAATTAAGTCAATTATTTTGTTGGTTGACAGCTAGTACAGGAGTGACAAATTAGAAGAACATTATAGAGGAAAGTAAGTTGTAATAATTTGCTCAATTATCATCATGCGAACTCAAAATGTAAGAGAAACATTGAAGAAATTTTTTTTGAGATCTGTCTGTGTTATTTATAATTCTTTTCAGAGGCAACATTAATCAAACAGTTGAGCAGGTTTTAGGATGTAGCGACAACTTATCACGAGAATTCATATTGTGACAGTATTTCACTGTAATAGAAAAGAATTGGCTCACCTCGAAGTCTTTCCCCACATGCTTTATTCTGCAAAGCATCTAAGTACTTGCACTAGAATAATTTAGTTAATATTGGAAATGTGGAAAACCAAAAAAAACCAAAAAAAAAAAATTTTTTGTTTGGAGCACCAGCTCTATTTAATTCAGTCACACGAAAGAGCTGGTTTAACTTTTCTTTGATTTTTCTTAAGTACCGTATAACCACTTCATTTTTAAATTACGTTCTAGTAACTATTTATTCATTCAAATTTCTGCCGTCTTAAAATTTTTTTTCCAGTTAATGATCATGTAAGAAGTG